GGCGGTAACCCAATCTGAGACATCCACCTTGGGGTCTTCCCCATAATACATTGGAGGTGGTGTCAGCTTGGGTTGCCGCTGATCAGATGTACCAGAGGCAGCAGGGGTAGTGGACACATGAGAACCAGCAGGTGAAGATGGTCGACTGTGAGATGGTGTAGAGGACGTTGGGGAAGGTTGAGGAGGTTTGGGAAAAGGAACAGGTAGCTGTAGATGCTGCAGGATGCTATTGACACTCGCGGTCAGGGAATCAAGGCTAGCTGCTAACTTATCAACCTTTCGGTCAATAGCAGAGCCTTGATTCTCGAGTGCGAGAATCCTTTGGTCCCAGTTAGAAAAGTAGGACCTGTTGATGGTGTATGTTAAGAGCACTACTGGATGTTCCACTGGTGACAACCTTTTCAACCTCTTTGCGTAGCTGTCTCCTTCTCTCTTCATTCTTACTAGCCTTCTAAGCTTCCTCCATCTCCTTTTTCAATCGCTGGATCTGAGCTTCTGCCTTGAGGCGAGCTTGCTCAGCCTCAAGCAGAGCCTGCTCCAGAGGAGAGAGAGGAACCTGAGGAGGGTTAGTAGAAGTTTCACCTCCCTCAATCTTTGTCTCAGCGTCAGCCATAATGGACCACTCACACAGTCAAATAAATACAGACAGGCAGATACAAGGTCAGCAGAGATTAGGATTACACACACACACTGAAGTAATCACTGCCACCTGATGAGAAGAGACGTGGTGTATAGGGCAGAAGAGCGCTCAGCCTCTGTAGGCTGTTGAGGGCTGTTCTGGGTCAGCTTAGGGCAATCCCAGATAAAATCAGACTTGCGATTTTTCATTCACAGCCTAGAACCCTCATCTGAGTACAACAACCCCAGAATCGCTGTCAGATAGTTAGACAGGATGCGACCTTGGACTGTAAGTAGACAGGATGGAATAGCGCAGAAAGTCAGTAGCAATCCCCAGAACCCAGTAGTCATCCAAGATGCAGCGGATGACTGATCAAGCTATTTTTAGACTCCTATTATTGACACTGACACTGTAGGACCCTGTATGCCCCACTGGGGTGAGGCGAAGTACAGATTTCACTGTACCTGACTCAAAACATCAAATCCAGTATAGCGCTTTCAAACACTGACTCAATACTGAATTGCGATTTCAGGGTGACTGACAGACTGAAATTCTGACGGACAAAACCCAAGATATGACAAACCCTAGCTTCCCCAAGCACTGGCTATGGCAGCGCAATTCTCAGAATTCCATTATCATTGACATCCAGACCCTGAAGTACTCAATTCACAGTGTATACTGAATCGCAATACTGTAATACAGTCAGAGATGCAATTTGAGACAGAAAGAAGGTCAAACAGAGTCAGTAGAAGTCGAAGTAGATAGGTAGGAGAAATGGATATGGTTGTCAGGCAATGCGATTTTGAACTTTTACTGTCTACAGACGTACAATTTCAATATCCCCAGTCTAATCACAACTATCAGACTCGCCACAGAGACTTGAGTAAGGAACACACTTACTTCAGGTCAAAACACTGGCAGAAGAAGTTGAACTGGCTATGGTTGCCATCTCGCCAGTTTCTTCAACTCACTGTTCCTGGTGCTCCCACGTTCCAAATCTCCTGAAACTTGGTGATACTGTAGTTCTTGATATGGCGATCAATCCCCACTAGTCAGATTCACTGGATCTGGCCCAGAATCTGCAACTCGACATACCCCCTCGTATCTCGCCACCAGCAGAGTCAACGCTTGGGCTAAAAATAGCCCCTCAGTGCCTCCCAGGCCACCGAGCACTAAATCGCCACCAATCTCTGTGTCATACCAGCCGCCACACACTCTTCACCAACACCCGACTGAGCGCAATCCTGAAGATGCGATTTCTCCATGAAACTTGACGTCAGAAGCTCTCAGATAGTGATGGCTGCCTCAGTCCATCATCTCGCCACTGTCTGGGTCCGATTTGCTCCGATACCAACTTTATGAACATGATTCTGTTGAAATTTTATCAACACTCACTCACAGGAACTCTCGTACACGCCCATACATGCACAGAAGGAAGGGGAGAGATAGTGGAGTATCACACCGCCCAACAGAAAGAAACGCGGCGGAAGACTCAGAGGAGCGAAGTGACAGAACACACAAACTGTGGATTCTCTCCACACAGATCCCAACAATCATTCATAGAAGACAACCGAGTGA